ACCTGTTCGTATCTCCTGGTGTCGTCATTAGTAAACTAACAAACAATCGTATCTAGGATACTTTATAACTGGTAGATTATCAGCTTCTAGTATAACGGATATTCCTACAGCTGTTCGTATCTCCTGGTGTCGTCATTAGTAAACTAACAAACAATCGTATCTAGGATACCTTATAACTGGTGGATTATCAGCTTCTAGTATGACGGATATTCCTACAACTGTTCGTATCTCCTGGTGTCGTCATTAGTAAACTAACAAACAAACTTCCACACGTACATTTCGAAATCATCAATGTCCCCTAGTACAACCCCAATAGGCTTTTATACCTTTTTGTCTTCTTAAACTTGGACAAGCTGACGTCTACAATAGCGAAGGATCAGTTAAAATATGTGATTTAAGATTAATCTCTTCATGTCTTTTATACCGTAAATTGCAGTGTTAATGCGTAATTGTGCCTCTAAGAATGCGCACAATTAGTCCTCAATTTCAACAATGTTTTCAATTATTTTTCAAATTATCAAATACCGAACTACAATTATTTTTTTTACTCGGGACTTCATTCGAAATATTGTATAATATATATTTATTTTTCTTAGAGAGGATGGTGAAAGGCATTACGCTTAATCTTATTGGAAGCGTAAACTGAAAAGTGTGAATTACTCTACGATTTTCACGTAGAATAATTCACACTTTTCAGATTTGTATAAGAAACACATGATGGTTAATACTTGAAGGAACTAAAACTTACGCATGGGAACAGAAAGCAACAACTTTGATCCACTTTCACCAAAGATTCGTAAAAGAAATAACGAACACTATAATTATTGACATTTCATCATCTTGTTTGTTTGTTTTGAATTTCGCGCAAAACCACACGAGAGCTATCTGCGCTAGCCGTCCTTAATTTAGCAGTGAAAAACTAGAGGGAAGGCAGCAAGTCATGACCACCCACCGCCAATTATTGAGCTACTCTTTTACCAACGAATAGTAGGATTGACCGTCAAATTATAATGCACCTACGGCTGAAAGGGCGAGCATATTTGGTGGTACGGGGATTCGAACCTGCGACTCTCAGATTGTGAGTCAAACTCCCTAACCACCTGACCATGCCGGGTCTCATCATCTTGTATAAACTCAAACAATGCAGACTCAACACATTATGAAATAAACTGGACAGAGGATAATATTTATTTATTTGGATGGGACAGGTATTTAGTTTGAAGGATCGGAGGCGAACCCTACCCAACTGGATAGTTCAAGATTATATTTACTCCTATTCGCCCCCCCCCCCTCCCACGCGAAAATTGTTTTAAGAAGTAGGGTGGGAGTTGAGCAAAAAAAAAGGAATTATGAGTAATAGGTTGAAGTAAAAGTGAAGGGAACTTGAGTTGAGGAGGGGGAGCTACCAAACATCGAGGCATGACTGGAATTCCTGTCGTAGAAAGGGGTGGACACCTTTTCAGGGTGGCGGAGAGATATAACTCCTATGCCTGACAATGTTTTGTGGGGGAACGGGAATACCCCGAAAATACCCAATTTCACAGGACGAGCGCCGAATAGCATACAACCGCAGAGTCAACACATTATGAAATAATGTTAAGTGTCGAGTCGACACATTATGAAATAATGTTAAGTGTCTAGTCGACACATTATGAAAGACACTTAACATTATAGTCGACACATTATGAAAGACACTTAACATTAGAGTCAACACATTATGAAAGACACTTGACATTAGAGTCAACATAGATACATTTAGACGAAATATGGGACACAGCCTTTAATATGTTAGTTTGTTTCAGATATTCATGCAGCACACACCGCCAGCTCTTAGGTAACTGCAATAGAAGAGTTGAGTTTGATCGTCAGTTGACGCCTGGACAGCACTCAGCCTTCAGAAGTAATTGTATCAATTTTAGAGGAAACATTTACAGATGAAGCCTTGTAAGAGCAGTTAGTAATAAAAATGAAACCCAAATGAAAGTTTGTTTGTTTTTAATGAAGCACGAGGCTACACAATGGGCTATCTGTGCTCTGCCCACCACGGGTATCGAAACCCGGATTATAGCGTTGTAAGTCCGCAGACATACTGCTGTGCCACTGGGAAGGGAGGCTCAAGTGAAAGACAAACACATATGTAAAAGTAATTCAAACCTTACAAGCAACATTATGAAAGATACCTGATTATAGAATAGAGCATAGTCATGTTCTAGCTATGTGACAAGAGCCATTAAAAATTCATTTAACTTGTCGATGTGTTTCCTGTGGGAATAAAGTTTGAACTGGAAGCAAAATAGACAATTCTCTGTACAGAAAACAACATAATATAATACATCATTTGATAGTATAAATAATATGGTATTATTGGTAATAAATAATATGGTATTGTTGGTAATAAATAATATGGTATTGTTGGTTATAAATAATATGGTATTATTGGTTATAAATGATATGGTATTGTTGGTTATAAATAATATGGTATTATTAGTTATAAATAATATGGCAATGTTGGTTATAAATAATATGGTGTTGTTGGTTATAAATAATATGGTATTATTCGTTATAAATAATATGGTATTGTTGGTTATAAATAATATGGTATTATTTGTTATAAATAATATGGTATTGTTGGTTATAAATAATATGGTATTATTCGTTATAAATAATATGGTGTTATTCGTTATAAATAATATGGTATTGTTGGTTATAAATAATATGGTATTGTCAGTTATAAATAATATGGTATTGTTGGTTATAAATAATATGGTATTAAACGTTAGTGAGAACTATTGGCAATTTCTGAAGAAGAGAATGTGACAGGTGGGCATGGCAAGAAGGGTTCTGGTTTTCTAGTTTATGGCTCTGTAGCTAAATAATATTGAAGGCTATAAAACTTATGCTTTGCCTCAGTGATGACAACATTATTATGAGTAATTTATGTCAAATTTCATACTGATTTAAAACTTACACGTGGAATCTGACTCATTTCAAACACATCATACAAATATCTTACTATAGAATAAAATAAGAAAAACTGTCACAATTATCACGTTATGAAAAATACTTGAGTATAGAATGAGGTATAATTATGAAAACGTTTACTGTAATTGATCATTTCATTATTAATTCTTACACCTAGATCTCTTATTTCAAACCACAGTAAACCACATTTATCGAAATAAATTGTTCTAAAACAGTTGATAAAATCTTCAAGAATATTTTTGATGTACAAATAGAAATATACCTTGATAATCGGAGCGTCCTTTTGTCCAAGTTTTCCAGTGAAAATATTAAGAAAGTCAAATTTACTGCCAAACTGTTGTTTTTTGGTATTTTGGATCTGTCTGTAAGCTTCTCGAAGTTGCGGTATTCTATTCTGTGGAAATGATACATCAAACATTTAATGCATTTGTTGACTTTGATTGCTAATCTATGGGTACAAAATTCAGTATTGGATCACATTCTTCTCTAATGATGACAGTAAATTGCTTAACAGAGTGATAATATAAGCGTTTCAACATCGGTGATGAAAACTTGAATAATGTATCAAGTGAACAGTTAGTTTTGTATTCTTTGTAAGTAAGTGATATTGTGTTATTTCTTTAAGTTTAATTTCAATACCAATATTGGTTATAATATTAAATATATATTATAGGTTTATTTGCATTATTTTTTTTTTATTAAGAGGATTATTTAACGTTGTTAGCTTAGTATGTGGATTTAAGGTTAGCCTAAACCTCCTAAACTAGGCGAATCTCATGAGATATCACTTTGATCTGTCTGACCGAGTAAAGTGAAGACACCCAGAAGCAGCCCTGTTATACAACAGACCGAGTAAAGTGAAGACACCCAGAAGCAGCCCTGTTATACGACAGACCGATCAAAGTGAAGACACCCAGAAGCAGCCCTGTTATACGACAGACCGATCAAAGTGAAAACACCCAGAAGCAGCCCTGTTATACGACAGACCGAGTAAAGTGAAGACACCCAGAAGCAGCCCTGTTATACGACAGACCGATCAAAGTGATGTCGTATAACAGGGCTGCTTCTGGGTGTCTTCACTTTGATCGGTCTGTCGTATAACAGGGCTGCTTCTGGGTGTTTTCACTTTGACTGGTCTGTCGTATAACAGGGCTGCTTCTGGGTGTCTTCTTTGATCGGTCTGTCGTATAACAGGGCTGCTTCTGGGTGTCTTCACTTTACTCGGTCTGTCGTATAACAGGGCTGTTTCTGGGTGTCTTCACGTTGATCGGTCTGTCGTATAACAGGGCTGCTTCTGGGTGTTTTCACTTTGATCGGTCTGTCGTATAACAGGGCTGCTTCTGGGTGTTTTCACTTTGATCGGTCTGTCGTATAACAGGGCTGTTTCTGGGTGTCTTCACGTTGATCGGTCTGTCGTATAACAGGGCTTCTGGTCACCCTTTCAACTTGTTCTGCGTCACAAAGACTATTTGCTTCTGTAAAAATAGCACCAATGGTACTATTTCTTCAGGCAGATCTCACTTCTTCCGATCCCGGATGATCATTTTCAAACCAAACAAAAACCATAGTTCGGATCCAGAACACTAGCCATGAGATAAATCATGTTGCCATAAGATCGACTGTTTACAGAAGAAGAAAATAAATCCTTGTGTGAAGTTACTTGCAACTTCGCAGAGATTATGTCGAGACCTGGCATACCGAATCCAAGACTGAGACCTAATCAATAGAGATCTCATAATTTGATCTCGAGGACCGTCTCGAGATCCAATCTCTGCCACCGGAGGGCATCCAACTTTATCAAACGCAATGTTAGAGGTGACATTAACTCCAAGGTTTCAACTTCAAATTGATGTGAATTTCAAACTGTATATTAATTCACCAGATTCAGCACTTTTGCGTTTCCGTTTGTTACAAAATTGAGTAAAATTACTCAATTACTTTGTTAACTACATAGGAGAACCCAATAGTAATTTGTGCGATTAACTGAGATATTGATGGTATTTTTATTTAAACTTTTTTGTGTGAATTATGTGTTACGAAGATACCTGTAACTAACAAATTAATCTGTCGGTGAGGAGACAGCTTAGATAAATGTGTAATTTTAGGGTTAACCTAACAACATTTCGTGTATCCACCTTCTTACTTACCATCACTAGTGACATCTACAGTAACCTCAAGGAGGTAAAGAGATGATTTGTGATCATTTCTGTGTACAAAATGCTAAAAAAAACACGAAATGTTGTTAGGTTAACCCTAAAATTACACATTTATCATCCACCTTCTTACTTACCATTACTAGTGACATCTATAGTAACCTCAAGGAGGTAAAGAGATGATTTGTGATCATTTCTGTGTACAAAATGCTACTTAATATCATGGTTTCCAACATATCTAAAATCCTAAATTTTCATAACATCTTCTGAATTCAACACCTTACGCGTCTCTTTTAAATATTATATTTATTGGAATATTTCAACACCCCCATATAAACATCTCATAAAAATTCAAAAAAAGTACCATCCAATAACGAATATGTAAATCTAAATATGTAAAAAATAATTAAATCCTGCCAATAAGCTAAGTAGAAAATGTTGTGTATATTACGTTGTGATTATGGTGATCTATTGACGTTCTACAACTTAAGCTACCTTGCCTGCTGACATGCTGTACTGAGTTTGCCAATCTCTGAACCTCTGCTCAACTTCAATGATGCTGGAACCCTGCTTATAAGTTTCTAGTATTGATATCAGCTGTTGCTGGGAGGCGCTAAGACGCATGTCCTCATACTGCGAAGGAGGTGTCGTGTGGGTTTTCGTCTGTTCTTCTACCATAGGAAACACCAGATAAAGAAACACACATTGATGATAAGGTTCTACAAACACACAGACACACGCAAAAAGTTCTAATATAGGAACTCATCGTTATATGCTGCCTTACGGCTACAGTATACATCTGTTACATCTCTATATTTGTCTCTAAATTGTGTTTGTTTGTTTTAGAGCAAAGTCATATTGGCCTATCTGCTGTGTCCACAAAACTGAACAAAATTTGAAGGACGAATTTCAACTCATTACATTCAGAAAATAAACAAATAATGTTTCTCTTGAAGTTATCTAATTATAAGCAAGAAATTGCGAGAGATTGTAAGGAAGAATGTGTGATAATATGTTAACCACACTGTATCTGTTATATCCAAAGTTGACAAGGCCTTACGCTCAATACCAGGGCTCTTCGGGCTGGCTGCGTTACTACAGATACAGTCATGGTTGATATAATATTGTTTTAACACAAGGCTACACAATATGCTATCTGCGCTCTGCTCACTGTAGGTTCATAAACTTAATGCTGACTCACAAAAGGACGTGGTGGAAGCGCTATTTATATTACCAAATTGCTTAAGCAACAATTGTTTCGATGTGAACTACCACCGATGACTCAGTGGTAAGTCTGAGAGCATATAACGCTAAAAATCTGGTTTCGATACCCACAATGGACAGAACATAGATAGCACATCATATAGCTTTGTGCTTACCAACAACTGAACCAAACCAAATTACTGTGAACTGAATTAAATAGGTGAAATGTAATATTTATGATATTTATTTAAATCAGTACAAATTATAATTATGATAAGGACTTTTTAACACTTTATTTTTCTAATTATTTTAACACCATATATTATTAACTATTACTTTCTTGAATTAACCTGCTCATTACTAGAAGATTTATACATTTGTTTCGGAGAAAAGCCACATTAGGTTATCTGCTGTGTCTTCCACGAGAAATCAAATCTCGTATTTTACCATTGTGCGTCTATATTTACTGCTACCATTATCTGTTGGTAACACTAGGTATGTTGGTAACGCTCAAATTGCCTCAGTGGCTAAACCTCAAGCGGAAGTCTTGCATTCGAATACCAGTTCAGTTGGGATTTTTATTTTTATTGCTAAGTGATCATGTTTAGAGCAAACTCTTTCAATATTCGGAGAAAACACGAATACCAGGATATTTTGAACTAATATTTGTTGACACCGACTTCAAATACTGAATTTCAAAATTGTTCAGTAGTTACAGCGTTCGGCTGTCGTATGGAAATCTTGTTTTCGAATACAAGTTAAGTCGGGATTTTATGTTATTTTATTTTTTAATAAATGGGTATATTCACAGTAAATTTCTTCAGTACCATTATAGATTAAATCAGGGATTTGAGGTATGGTTAACATTCGAATTAACTGAACATTTCTAACACCATCTATGAAATAAATTCGAAACTAAAATTTTTAATAAGACTAAAAATAGTTCAGAAGCAGTGCAAGAAAGAAAACATCGCTAAGCAAAAGAAAGGAAAAAGTAGATGGATTACACGACCAAATCTCAAGAAATCTCAGGAAAAATTAGGATAACTGAAGCAGGGGCAAAACAAATGACCTGGTAAAATGAATCTCCTGAAGAAACAATAAGAAGACAAACTGATGCTGAAAGACACGCGGGCCCGGCATGGCCAGGTGGATAAGGCGCTCGACTCACAATCTGAGGGTCGCGGGTTCG